GTATATAACAGCTACATGGAACTTATTCGTAATAGGTTCTCAGTCGAGGTAAACCAGTAATTCTGAGTACAATATAAGGGCGGGGGAAACACTAACTAAGGCAACAGGTGCAGATAATTCATGTTCATTCACTCTTAAAGGAACATTGCTCAATGACATGCTATAAACTAGGCTTCCTCAACCTCGGCCCTCCAGATGTTTTGAGACTACAATTCCCATCATCCCTGACCACTGGTCCTGCTAGCTAGGGATCATGGAAGTTATCATACAGCCTATTACGTTTACGTGTTTTTTCAAAATATGATATAGTCTAAATAGAAAAAGGTTTCTGAACTGGAGCAGGGGGTGGCATAGGAAATCTAGTAAATGTAGGAAGTGAGATTTCATAAAATTGGGGAATAGCTGCCTATTCCAATCAATTCATGCTATCTTTATGATTCTTGATATTTTCTTGTCTTCACTCTTGCTTTCTATATTTCTCTTTCTGGGGCTGCTCATAGAAAGGATGAACTAATAGAAATATCTGTAGCTATACTGAAAGTGCCGATTTTTCAAACTTCTCTATGTAATTCCACTAATACATCTCATTTCATGACCCATATCATTGTCTGACTTTCCTCAGAGTCAAGGCCGTCCATTTCTGGTAATTTGTTTGATGGGAATGAAGGACTGGGATGTGATTACTAAACTTATTTTCGCTTCAGCTTTCCAGAGGCAAAGGCCACTGAGCACCTAAAACAGCTGCAGTCCCCTGGTCCCCTTGAGTTACTTCCAATTGCAAGTTGCATCAATTCATTTTAAGACTGGCCTATCTGCCATTTGCTACCCAGAGTCTGGCACACCAGTTTCAGAGTCAAAATTAGCCAGTTCCATTCAGTGAAAATAACTGGAAACCGTGTAAAGATTTCATAGGCTTTAATGTACAACCACCCCCCCCCCAAAAAAAAAATGAGCAGGGGAGAAAGCAGAGTTAAACCTAGGCTTTATTCAATTATAGTCTATGATTCATATTTGGCTACCTTAGTTGTGCCCATTAATTTAAATGGGACTACTCTGAGTAAAAATTAGTTGACTACAACCCTATGACTTCCAATCCTCACTCTGAATGATTTCTTTATTTCCTGACATAGGAACTAATTCCTAGGATCCCCATTAAAGTTTTTGAGGGGATCAGGCTCCCCAAAGGTGATGGGCGTTGTCATTCAAATGGTGTGCAGCATGTGCTGCATCTAGTGATCAGTTACTCAGGGTGGGGCTCATCTGCCCCCAGATTATTCAAGTTGGCACCCCTGCTTCCTGCTTTCATATTTCCACTTTATGCTATGGTTATCAGGACCTACAGATTCATCTTTTGACTAACAAAATGTTGACTGTGTTTCATAAGGATGATTTATCCAGCATTTTGACATAGAATTCACATACCCCATGGGACGCAAGAGAAGCCTCCCATGCTTAAAATGTACCATGTGACATGGCACATCTGTACATGTATGTTTGCATGCATCTGCTAGAAACATGCATGAGTCATCAAACACAAAAAGTGTAGATGTGTGAAGACCTGCAGTGCTGTTGTTTCTTTCCTACTTCAAAATTGGAGGCACATAAATATGGTTACATCCACCCACCCCTATAGTGGTGGTGGTGGTGATGATAATACTACTAATAATAATAATAATAATAATAATAATAATAAATTTATTACTTATACCCCACCCATTGGCTGGGCCTCCCCAGCCACTCTGGGTGGCTTCCAACAGGATATTAAAAACACAATAAAACATCAAACATTAAAAAACTTCCCTTTCTGGGATTCTCACACAGGCTGCATCAAAGAATTTCAGTTCCTCCTTACTTTCTCCCCCAGGAATGATGCCATTTCCCTTATACTGACTGAAAGAGAGATCAATTCCACAGGGCCTAAGGCTAATCATGAAGTACTTCACAACTTCCTCTGCTTCACCTTGAGGCTGTGAAGGTAGTAAAGCACTTTCTACACATTCAAGGGTGGGCTGGACTATCTTTCCTTCCTCCCATAGCTGCACTGTGGACATGTTTACCCCATACAGATGGAGAAGGATCTCTACCACCTCAAAAAGACATATTTAAAACAGGAAGAGTGTGGGCTAAAAAGGAGAAGCCTCTGACTATATATTAAAAATTAAAAAGTAAGCCGCATCCCCTGCAAAAGTGGCCCTGGAAATGTCAGAACTTTCTCTGTCCCCCTTTCCCCCACCTTCTTCATCCTCCCCAATCCCCACAAATTCACACAGTCCTCTCAGAGCCTCTCTATTCTGAAGGGAGGGTTGAAGGATGATTCCAAGATGGCAGCATTATTTTTCAAGGCACACTTCCATCCTCCTGTGGTACATGAATGTGTCCAGGTTGGCACACAGTTTGGAAATCCATGAGCATGAGAAGAGATCTGCTGGGTCATAAAAAGCAGCCTCCTGTTCTCAGTGTCCAGCCAGATTCCTCTGGAAAGCCCCCCTCTCCCCCCCCCCCCCTGCTTGGGCTCCACAGCAGCTGGTCTTCAGAGACAAACTGCCTTTGACTGTGGAGCTAGTATACATCCCTCACCATAGCCATGGAGAGTTTCAAGCTCCATTCATATATTTATATGTAATATAAAAGTGCACATGGGAAGATAGGATCTTTTCCACCCCAATCTGCATCCCTTTACACTTCCTTACATTTGAATAGCATTTGCCATTTTAATGTCCATTCTCCCAGTTCCAAGATATCCTTTTGGAGCTTCTCACAATCCCTTTTAGTGCTTACCGCCCTGAACAATTTGGCACCATCAGGACTCATTTCTCACCCCTAACTCTTGGTAATTTATAAACAAGTTACAAAGCGTAGCTCCCAATGCTTTGAGGATCCCAGATTTTTCATCCTTCCTTTGGAGAGGTGAGCATTCATTCCTGTCCTCTGCTTCCTGTGCTTTAGCCAGATACAGATCTCTAAGAGGATCTGTTCTCATAGCCCATGACGACTCAGGAGTCTTTGGTGAGGGACTTTATCAACTGCTTTTTGAAAGTCCAAGTACACAGTTTCTACTGGGTCACTCCTATACATATGCTTATTGACACTCTCAACAAGCTCTTAAAGGTTAGCTAGATGTATACTCTTTTGGAAACCATGCTAGCTCTTCCTTGGCAAGCCTTGTTCTTCTATATGCTTTGTGCTTCTACCTTGAGAAATACCATCCACCAGTTTTCCCTGTGCCACAGTGCACTATGGGTGGAATCACAACCCTTGATGGTAGTTTTTCTAGCATGGACAAATGGCTGGTTTCAAAACTTCTTGAACTATCTAAAGTATGTGCCCCAAGTAAGAAAGGGGAGCAAATGCATCTGGGGCTGAAATGAGAGACACAAGCTTCAACTTTTTAATTAGAACAACTTGCCTTATGTCAGAAGTTTCACTGAAAGCTACAGATAATGGATTTCCCTTTTCCAGCACATGAGAGTCAGGTGCACTCTTTGTAGTTAACAGCCAGCTCATTTTACTTGCAGTTTGCCCATATACCAGCTGTACAGCCATACATAGAAACTTCTTCACTCTGGCGATCTTTTCAACTTGCAAAGGAACTGATGGGTCCCTTACTGATGCAATTTCTTTCAGCCTCAGCTAAACTTACACTGGTTGTGTGAGTCATTCCTCTAACGTTTCCTTTTTTCTGAAGAAAGATAGCGCTTCCTCCTTGTTTTATGCAAGCATGTAATTTGTTTAGCCTTCTGGATTATGGCTTCCAGCCTATCTCCCAAGCACTTTTAATGGCTGGGAATATGCAAAATGCAGATGCTGTGCGTTTTTTTGGCAGGATGCCTCTGCCTTTCCCCAGGTGTTCAGGTTTGTGACAATCAACTCACACTCACTTCAAGAGGTATTACAACTTAACACCAGGTGGGCATGTTTCGTAGATAAGTAGACTCATTACCATTTATCCCTGTGAACTGAAATTGTTCAAGGTTAAATAGGAACTGAAGGATGTTAGTAGATTCCCACCCCCACACCCAAAAAACCCTCTTTAATCATCTTCTTTCTGTAATCATTTCCTGTTTAGTACTCTGAAGTACTGAAAGGTGTTTAATTTTAATTAGCTGAACATTTCCTTATTTCTCAGGTTCTGCATGCCACTTTACACGACTTCACTCCTCAGCAGAACAGCAAGAGTCCTTACTAGAGACTCATTTGTAGGGCACGGATGACAATGTTACCAGACCTCCTGCCAAACCCCCACCCCCACGCCAACTGCCCCGTTTCTAATAGGGCTGTCCACCAGATCTGGCCAAAGCCTGCATCTGGAACCAAACAGAGCAGATCCAGGCTTTGACAAATTGAGCCTTTATGTAGACTAGACAGAGGTGCTCTTGGTCAGATGGAAGCTGGAACAGGGAATGAGGATCTCGCCTGTGCTGGATGGGGGAACACTTCTCCGTTGGGCACGCTCCTAGACTCACTCAGACCCCTGTGGTGGCCAGGAGTGCATTGGCACAGTTAAAGCTAGTGGGCCAGCTGTGCCCATTCCTTGAGATGCCTGATTTGGCCACAGGGACACACGCCTTAGTGACCTATAATGCTCAACCATATTGTCTCAAATGAACCTTCCCGGGTTTTGACATTTGGGGTGGGAGGTCTATGGGAAGCCTTAATCTTGGTTCTGCCACCCACCCAGGCACACTTGTGGGGGGTTCGGGAGAGGGCCTTCTCGGTGGCTGCTCCCAGACTCCAGAACTCCCTCCCTAGAGAAGTCAGACTGGTTGTCTCCTTGTCCTTCCACTGGCAGGTGAAGACTTTGGGGAATTGACTGCTTTAATTAAAGGGCTGGTGCCGTGCTGTTTTTGTTGTAATTATTGTTATGTTTTAAACAATTTTTATTTATGTGTATAAATAAATGTCATGGAATCATAGAATCATAGAGTTGGAAGAGACCACAAGGGCCATCGAGTCCAACCCCCTGCCAAGCAGGAAACACCATCAGAGCACTCCTGACATACGGTTGTCAAGCCTCTGCTTAAAGACCTCCAAAGAAGGAGACTCCACCACACTCCTTGGCAGCAAATTCCACTGTCGAACAGCTCTTACTGTCAGGAAGTTCTTCCTAATGTTTAGGTGGAATCTTCTTTCTTGTAGTTTGTAGTTTGCTCCGTGTCCGCTTCTCTGGAGCAGCAGAAAACAATCTTTCTCCCTCCTCTATGTGACATCCTTTTATATATTTGAACATGGCTATCATATCACCCCTTAACCTCCTCTTCTCCAGGCTAAACATGCCCAGCTCCCTTAGCCGTTTCTCATAAGGCATCGTTTCCAGGCCTTTGACCATTTTGGTTGCCCTCCTCTGGACACGTTCCAGTTTGTCAGTGTCCTTCTTGAACTGTGGTGCCCAGAACTGGACACAGTACTCCAGGTGAGGTCTGACCAGAGCAGAATACAGTGGCACTATTACTTCCCTTGATCTAGATGCTATACTCCTATTGATGCAGGCCCAGAATTGCATTGGCTTTTTAGCTGCCGCGTCACACTGTTGGCTCATGTCAAGTTAGTGGTCAACCAAGACTCCTAGATCCTTTTCACATGTACTGCTCTCAAGCCAGGTGTCACCCATCTTGTATTTGTGCCTCTCATTTTTTTTGCCCAAGTGCAATACTTTACATTTCTCCCTGTTAAAATTCATCTTGTTTGTTTTGGCCCAGTTCTCTAATCTGTCAGTTCTCTAATCTGTCATGTTCTTCCACAGTGGGGACATAGGTTTTCGGGCAGGAGTTGATCACAGTGAGGGTTTACCAAATGTGCCTTCCTCTTAGCTCATTTCTCCCTTTCCTCCTGAGTTTGTGTTTCTTCAAAGTCCATGACTCCTTTGGTAGAAACTATTATCCAATTGGGGTGCTCGCAGGCCAGCGTTTCCCAATTTTCTGTGCTTATATTGCATTTTTAAAAAGATTTGCCTTGAGAGCATCTTTAAATCTCATTTGTTGTCCATCGGTATTTCACCTTCCATTCTTAAGTTGGGTATAGTTGCTTTGGAAGACGATAATCAGGCATCTGAGCAACATGACCAGTTCAACGAAGCTGATGTTGAAGAATCATTGCTTTGACACTGGTGATCTTTGCTTCTTCCAGCAGTCACACAGCAAGGTGGTTGGGGAAGAGGGGTGGCAGGCAGGCAGGCAGCCTCTTCAAAGAGCAGCACAGGGCTATTTGCAAAAGGGCCTTGGCTGTGTGTGCCTGTTCCCAGCAAGGGAACATGCACAGCCAAACTGACCAGGAATGACTCTCTGGTGAGCAGAAGTGTGTATTTCTGCTGCAACTGGTTTTGACAACAGGCACGTGGCATGAAAGATTCCAGAAGAAGGCTGGGGAGGTTCCTGTTAAACCTCTGCTGGTAGGAAGCTCCACTGGGAAAGGTCTGTCACACTAAAGGGTCCATCTGTCATGGAGGCCAACCCAGCCTCCTGGATGGGGGACCCAGCAGAAGTGGCCCAGCAGAGGATTTCAGTGATCGAGGTGGAGCATAAGGAATCTTTAAGGGCTTCCTGCTCAGGAGAAATATCTGAACGTTTCTAAGCAAGCCAAAGTGATGCTGGCGGTTAGGCCATCTGGTGCACTGGTCACCCCACTTGTGTCAAAGCCTGTATTGCTGAGCAGCCTGCTTGCTCCAGGAAACTAACAAGATGAAGACATCCCATTAGAAGTTAGCTTTTGCAAACATGAAGTTCTCACAGATGGATCTATTTTCCAGAGTGCCATACTGTACATCATATATTCCCAAAGCATCTGTTCCACAAAACAAATTGGCAGAAGCTTGTCTCCTTGATGACAATGCATTCTGTGGAGCAGATGATATATGAAATAATCTTGACTTTTTTTAATACACTGCATGTGAAGGGTTTTTTATTGCTATAATAAGGACAAATCTGTCAAGAGTTAGCACAATTTTTGCACAACATGTATCATTTCATTTCCTGTGCAAATTATTCCCATAAAGCATCCCACTAATTGCTCCTATATTAACCTCTCACTATAGTTGAATGAAGAAACAGGATGCTTCATGTACTCAGACAACATTATCTTTGTGAAGAAAAAGTTAAATATGGCTTAGGATTTTGTTCTATACCGTACAGAGTAAATATGAACTGTGAGCATAATTCAACAGAAATTCCTCCTGCTCCTCAAGTCATATTCATTTCACACAGACTTGCACAGGAAATTTTCCTCAAGGGCTTGCACCCTTTCTTTCTCCCTCTAGTCTCTTAATTTGGTGTAAATGCAGAACTTGTGACCTTCCCACCAGCCCAGCATCCTGTTTCTGAAAGTGGCCAACAAGACGCCTCTGGCAAGCCCACAGGCAGGATTTCATGCAAATAGCCCTCTCCTGCTCTTGCTTCTAGCAGTTGTTTTTTTGAAGGCCCAGGGCTTCTGAACCTGGAGGTAGTGCATAGCCATTATTACTAGTAGCCATTTATAGACTTAAGCTCTGCAAAGTTATCTAATCATCTTTTGGAGCCACCTAGGGGACGCACCACAGAGCCTAGGACTTGCCGATCAGAAGGTTGGCGGTTCGAATCCCCGCGACGGGGTGAGCTCCCGTTGCTCGGTCCCTGCTCCTGCCAACCTAGCAGTTCAAAAGCACCTCAAAGTGCAAGTAGATAAATAGGCACCACTCCAGCGGGAAGGTAAATGGCGTTTCCGTGCGCTGCTCTGGTTCGCCAGAAGTGGCTTAGTCATGCTGGGCACATGACCCGGAAGCTGTACGCCGGCTCCCTTGGCCAATAAAGCGAGATGAGTGCCACAACCCCAGAGTCGGCCACGATTGGACCTAATGGTCAGGGGTCCCTTTACCTTTACTTTAAGCATCACCACACCTTGTGGCAGATAATTCCATAAATAAATTTTATGTTGTCTGAAGAAGAAGCCTCATAATAAGTATTGCTCTTGGTTCTTGGGAACTCACAACTTTGTTTTCTGAGACAAGGTGAATAGATGTTTACAATGCATAGGTTTGGATAGTACGAATGGGTCACCTTGCCTAACAACTCATCCCTAAGACATCTTGAACCAGAAGTCCCACCATTCTACAAAAAGCTCCAGGGAAGAGTATTTTATCAAAAGATGACACTACAAGAGGCCAGTGAGCAGCCAAATCCCCCACTTCCTCTCTCTTCCATACACACACACACACCTGAAAAGATTTTACAGTTCCATCAACCTACTATAGATTAGGCCAGGCACTGCAAGAACAAATCACTGAACTATGAACATGTGTGGGATAAGAAACTCCCCACCCCCCATTTCTTGCCTTATCATGGCTTTGGAGATATCCCAGTACAGCGGTATGCCAAATTGGATAGCAGTACCATACTTTGAAAAAAGTGCAGGTGGCTTCACATCTCTTTCCATTAACAAGTTTTATCCATGCTTGAATGGGATTATACTTTGAATTATATTATTCTGCATATTTCAAAGTGAAGTTTGAAGCTGATAAACAACGAAAAAGAGCCCAGTTAATCTGATAGGAATCTGTTTCTGGCACTATTTTGTAAGTCTCAAATTCAAGAAAGAAAAAGATGGATATGAAACAATTTAATCTTACTATTTTAAAATGCATTTTACATTTGGAGAAATAGTTAATGCTTATTCTTTTTACATTTCTATCCTATATCCATTGGGATTAAGGATGCATTCATGGAGCTATTATTAAGACTGAAGTCTAACTGGTTGGTTAATTAATGAAAGTTTTACTGAGGGGAGTATTTATGAACACTTTTAAGAGTTATGTTGATTCTAGCATTATTATAATAAGGAGTGGGAAAATATTTAGAATGGCCTCTCCTAAGTATTGGCCACAACTTTTTTTTCTTCTTACACTTCCTTCATTATATAAAAAAGTCATCTACTTTTTTGAAATAGACATTGTCAGTTAGCTAATTTATTGGCTAAAAGGCAAGTGAATAATCTATTGCTATTTAGTTTTATCCTCGCAATGTACCTGCAATACAGCTCAGACTAAGCTTCACTTGTGTGCCCTTTATTGCTAATTAACCCCATTGAACCCTGTGAAACCTACACCTTAGTTAACATGTACTACGATTACTCAAGAAACCTGATGCTACCTAAGTAATGTAAACAAATAGAATAATGCAATTGATTTGGACCTAGAGATACTGTACACATTTGTGCTTTTTCTCTCTCAGTACGAAAACAACGTATTCAAAGACAAGCATTGTGAATCTGTAGCAGATTTCTTGACAATATTACCATTGAGCCCATGGGGTACAACAGTGACTTAGTGTGCAGGGTGAGTTGCATGCAATATGCTACAAGGATCTTTTGTTGTTGTTGTTTAGTCGTGTCTGCCTCACATATGCATAATTAAAGCTACAGAATTCCTCTTCCACTCCTGAGGAGGAAAGCAAGAGATCTGGGACTCACCCAGACTCCCTTTTGGGCCACACATTCCAGGCACAGGAAAGCTCTTTGCCTGAGTGACTTTTTTGTTTGTTTGTTCCAGAGCATTCCCCAATAAACCCATGTTTTACTGCTGAATCAGTGCAAACATCTTTGGGAGAAGAAAAGGGCTCAGCAATGATGGGTAGTTATCTTTACATTCTTTTCGTACCACCCTGGTACGTTCTGTTCACCTTGAGTTCACACCATATCAATCTGTACTTATCCCTCTGTGTACATTCCTTTCGTACCACCCTGGAACGTGCAGTCCATTAGTAGCACCATATCAATCATATACGAAGGAGATCATGCCTGTCTAAACTCTGCGTTCCTTTTTCCAACCTTTAACCTATCGATGACTAATGTCTTATATGCAACCCTTGCTTTGTACTTATGTTAACCAATCAGCAACAAGCACATATGTGGCAATTCTGTAATATTCAATAAAAGGGACTCCCCGACACATGTTGGGGAGATGCCTCCCGTATGACACCTACCACTCGTCTGTCGTTTATTTCAACCCACCACAGCAATAAACCCTATGCAAATGCGAAGTGGAGTCCTCGGATGGCTGGATGGCGCCTTGTACGCCTCCTTCCGGCAACTCCTGCAGCCAAGCTGGTGCCAAACATCTTGCTCTGCTTTCCTTTGGACCACATCAGGCCAAGGTCTTGTCGTCTGGGCAGCCCAGGACCTCCAGACATACTCCCCAGGCGTATGTCCTGGAGACGTCACTGCAGTGCTCCTAATGCAGCAAAAACAATGTGGGAGGCAGCAGCCATGACTTAGAATCATATAATCATAGAGTTGGAAGAGACCACAAGGGCCATCGAGTCCAACCCCCTGCCAAGCAGGAAACACCATCAGAGCACTCCTAACATATGGTTGTCAAGCTTCTGCTTAAAGACCTCCAAAGAAGGAGACTCCACCACACTCCTTGGCAGCCAATTCCACTGTTGAACAGCTCTTACTGTCCGGAAGTTCTTCCTAATGTTTAGGTGGAATCTTCTTTCTTGTAGTTTGGATCCATTGCTCCGTGTCCGCTTCTCTGGAGCAGCAGAAAACAACCTTTCTCCCTCCTCTATGTGACATCCTTTTATATATTTGAACATGGCTATCATATCACCCCTTAACCTCCTCTTCTCCAGGCTAAACATGCCCAGCTCCCTTAGCCGTTCCTCATAAGGCATCGTTTCCAGGCCTTTGACCATTTTGGTTGCCCTCCTCTGGACCCGTTCCAGTTGGTCAGTGTCCTTCTTGAACTGTGGTGCCCAGAACTGGACACAGTACTCCAGGTGAGGTCTGACCAGAGCAGAATACAGTGGCACTATTACTTCCCTTGATCTAGATGCTATACTCCTATTGATGCAGGCCCAGAATTGCATTGGCTTTTTTAGCTGCCGCGTCACACTGTTGGCTCATGTCAAGTTTGTGGTCAACCAAGACTCCTAGATCCTTTTCACATGTACTGCTCTCAAGCCAGGTGTCACCCATCTTGTATTTGTGCCTCTCATACTTTACATTTCTCCCTGTTAAAATTCATCTTGTTGGTTTTGGCCCAGTTCTCTGTCTTGACAGTTCTTGACAGTTAATCTGTCAAGGTCGTTTTGAAGTGTGATCCTGTCCTCTGGGGTGTTAGCCACCCCTCCCAGTTTGGTGTCATCTGCAAATTTGATCAGGATGCCCTTGAGTCCATCATCCAAGTCGTTGATAAAGATGTTGAATAAGACCGGGCCCAAGACAGAACCCTGTGGCACCCCACTAGTCACTCTTCTCCAGGATGAAGAGGAACCATTGATGAGCACCCTTTGGGTTCGGTCAGTCAGACAGTTACAAATCCACTGAGTGGTAGCACAGTCAAGACCGCATTTTACCAGCTTCTTTACAAGAATATCATGGGGCACCTTGTCAAATGCCTTGCTGAAATCAAGGTAGGCTACATCCACTGCGTTCCCTTCATCTACCAGGCTTGTAATTCTGTCAAAAAACGAGATCAGGTTAGTCTGACATGACTTATTTTTCAGAAATCCATGCTGACTATTGGTGATCAGAGCGTTCCTTTCTAGGTGCTCACAGACTGTTTGCTTAATGATCTGCTCCAGAATCTTCCCTGGTATTGATGTCAGACTGACTGGGCGGTAATTATTTGGGTCCTCTCTTTTCCCCTTTCTGAAAATAGGGACAACATTTGCCGTCCTCCAGTCTGCCGGTCTGGTCTGTTTCTCTGAAATAGATTCTATCCCTCCATTATTACATTCCAATCGTGGGACTTATCCCAACAGGTTTCAGTGATGCCTATTATGTCATATTTAGTTTGCTGTACCAAGAGCTCAAGCTCATCTTGTTTATTTCCCATGCTTTGCGCATTAGTGTACAGACATTGAAGTCCATTAATCATTCCCCCGTGTCTCTTATTTAAGGATTTTCTCCTCCCACCACTAGGTCTGCATGCTGTTTGCTCCATTTGGTCTATGACATTACTGATCTTTGCAGCCACAGCAAGACTTACTGATCTTTGCAGCCACAGCAAGAGCTGTGATTCTTCAGGGGTTGCACTTCACCCTCAGAAGTGCACTCCATTGTCTCTGAAGACAGATGGATGCCATCAGTGCAAATAGCAATCCACTGAAAACCCAATTACGGTTTGCTTGTTTCAGCCATAAAATGAGGGTTCCTCCAGTGATAAGTGCCACTGCAAAAACAGAGAAAAAAGTAAAGCCCAGCCCTGTACATATTAAAGCAGCACCAAAGGAAGCCTGGATGAGAGCGTTGCAAGGGTCTTGGGCAGACTGGCCCATAGGAGGGATGCTGCATATACTTTAAGCATCTGCTGAGGCACCCCACCCTCTTTTTGTGGCAGCAATAGATGAAGATGATAGATGCCACTGGAGCCACATTGACCTGTTGGGAACATGGGAGTAGCCCCTGCCGTTTTTGCCTTCTCTGTATTGCCAAAGTTGAGGATTTCTTTATTTTGGATAGGTCAAATTATTGGGCTTCTTGAAGCCTGAACTAGCTGTCACAAGTGGACTCATATGCATAACTCCAAGCATCCTTTATGCTTCAGGAATCCAGTAATGGCAAGAGCCCAATTAAAGCTGGAGCTCAAAAAATGTGAAGGTGCTGCAGGACTGAAATTGTACGTCAGAAAGCCAGACCTTTTATGTTCTGATATTTCCCCTGTGCAATTTTTGAGCTCCAGCATATTGGTGAACAAGTAGTTTAGATATCAGGAAATACAGGTAGTCAAGAACTTAAACAAGCATGTCTCTGCAAAGTGTAAACTATTAGATTGTTTGGAAGAAAATACTATTAGACATGAAATGGTGGGATGACCTAAATGTACCTATTTCCAGCTACATTGCAGCAATCAAAATGATGGTTCTTCCCAAATTTTCTTGATTTCATTTATATGCACCCTGCTGCATTCCATTATAATTGCTTATGAAAACAGCAATCTAATTAAATTATTTCATTTTTCCTAGTCAAAGGCCTAAGAGTGCTAAAGTTGTGTGGTATACAGCAAGCCTCAGAAGGTGGCAGTGGCCATGGAGGGGTTTTCATTCCTTGTGTTTTATTCCGAGTCTTTCCAAATACTGTACGTCATCAAAAGTGATGAATGGAGACTTGCCCAAACCAACCTGTCAAGGTCCATCAGCTGGAAAGAAGAAGGAGTTATTTGGACTCTTGCTGCTTCGTGATGACCCACAAGACCTGCCACTTGCTGGTTGATGTGGACAACCCCTCCTTGGCAAACCTTAAAGTGTGCAAGCATGATATAATACTGCCCTTAGGCTTTGAGCGAGGGTGAGTCATCCTAAGCAAGGAGGCAGCAATGTGAACAGGTGTATGTGAATCTGAACTTAAAATGTGGTTTATCTCTGTAGATCATGGCATGGTATCAGATTGAAATAACTTAAATGTGGCATGAGATTCTCCATCTTGAACTTTGCTAGACCTTGGTACAAGCCTGATACTGGCCTCATCTCAGGAAACACATGCAAATCAAGTTGCTAGCATAGTCTGTTCAAACTACTAAATGGATGGTGGTACAGGAGGCAGACAAAGATACGACTGGACTTTGAAGGTCAGCACCAACACTTTGAATTGTGCTCAGAAATGCACTGGGAGTCAATGTAGATTCTTTAGAACTGGTGTTATATGGTCTCGGAGGTCACTCCCAGTCACCAGTCTGGCAGCTGCATTCTGGATTTGTTGTTTCTGAGTCACCTTCAAAGGTAGCCCCACGCAGAGCACGTTGCAGTAGTCCAAGCGGGAAATAACCAAAGCATGCACCACCAGGGCCGTCTTTACCCAGGGGTGCAAGGGGTGTGGGGCACCCGGGCGCCGAATTCTGGGGGGCGCCAGGTGCCCGCCACTGAAGCTGCCTAAGCTCTTAACTATCTACCTGTTATGAAATAATAAATAATTTTGATCAAGCTAGAAAAACAAAATACATATATACCTAGGTATTGCCAAAATGTATACAGTGGTACCTCGGGTTAAGTACTTAATTCGTTCCGGAGGTCCGTTCTTAACCTGAAACTGTTCTTAACCTGAAGCACCACTTTAGCTAATGGGGCCTCCTGCTGTCACCGCACCGCCGAAGCACGATTTCTGTTCTCATCCTGAAGCAAAGTTCTTAACCCGAGGTACTATTTCTGGGTTAGGGGAGTCTGTAACCTGAAGCAACTGTAACCTGAGGTACCACTGTACCTACTGTTTCACTAAAGGACTTTCAACTTTGTGTGTTCATTTACCAAAGACGCACCGTGCAAGCAGCGGCACTTGTCATTCACAATGGCGGCACTTGTCAGACTCAACGACGGTGCTCACAACTAAATTTGGGGGCGCTGGGCAGATCTTTTTACCCAAGTGGTACATATGTTAAAGACTTGCCTGTGCACCACTCTGGCGAGACAGTCTGCAGGTAGGTAGGGTCTCAGCCTGTGTACCAGATGGAGCTGGTAGACAGCTGCCCTGGACACAGAATTTACCTGCACCTCCACAGACAGCTGTGAGTCCAAAATGACTCCCAGGCTGTACACCTGGTCCTTCAGGAGCACAGTTACCCGCATTCAGGACCAGGGAGTCCTCCACACCTGCCTGCTCCCTGTCCCCCCAAAACAGCACCTTTGTCTTGTCAGGATTATATCTGAATCTGTTAGCCACAATCCTTCCTCCAACTGCCTCCAGGCACTCACACAGGACCTTCACTGCCTTCACTGGTTCTGATTTATTTCTAGTGTTGGCCCTATTGCAAAATTTTCTGTAGGCTTTGGAAATAGTTAAGGGAATCTGTCATTCTTTATATCCTTTACAGTGGTACCTCAGGATGTGAACGGGATCCGTTCTGGAGCCCCATTCGCATCCCTAACAGAACATAAGACGCGACAGTGCTTCTGTGCATGCGCAGGTCGCATTTCGCCGCTTCTGCACATGCACGTGACGTCATTTTGAGCATCTGCATGTGTGAGTGGCGAAACCCAGAAGTAACGCACTCAACCTGAAGCGTATTTATCCCGAGGTATGACTGTATATCAAACTTTATATCAAGGTGTGTATGTATTGTAGAATTTACTGTCTGCTTAAATTGTAATTATGCTGTCAGAAGCAGCATTTATATATTCTGTTACTTTTATTTCATGTAATAAACCAAGCGTTCTTTATTCCTCTGTGAAAGAGCTTCTTGTGGACATAAGGCTAAGGGAAAACACATTCTCAAAGACAAGCACGTTATAACTCCAGCAAAAGATCCTAAACCTCTCAGCAGTGTGCATATGAGCATCAATGAGTGCTGGCAGTGCACATGTGAGTCCAGGTACACACCTGTAACAGCAAGATACATTTGACTCTAAAGTCTCACCTAAGAGACTTACAATGATTTTGGGAAATAACTAATTAGGTGCAAATTATTATCAGTGTCTCATGTCTTTATTCTGGGGTTTGGTATCAATTGCAGAATAATATCATGTGGAGCATGACAGAGGTTTAGATCTAGGTAAAATAGCATGTGTGCAGATAAATGTCAGCCAACATGTGACACTACAAGGTGGGAAGTCACAAATAGCCATGAAAATAAGAGGACAGGCTTAACACATATTTATCTGAATCAATGTTCCAAGAACTGTTGCACTGGAACAAAGCAATGGTGCCAGGAAGGAAAAAAGACTTATGAATAAT